TGCATACTGGTTAGTGTCATGGCCCAGTCTAATTGACCCATGCCTTGATCTGACACTCACCCTCAGGCACTAGCCTTGCCAGACAGGCCCTCAGCCCTAGGTTGTATGTGGGCTGGTATGTGGTGGTTAGCAATGTTCCATGCTAACAAGCCCAGCTCTGGTCTCCTATGTGGGCTGGGACATCATTCTGACCCATAAAGATCTTCTAGTCTCTCACCTACAAACTACCAGGTCTTAACCCCTCGCTTGCCTGCAAGATCAGTGCCTTGTCATTGGGAGCCACCAGGAGTCATTCTTCACCTGCAAGATACTCCCAGACTGGTTCCCCTTACTCCATTTCCCTTTGCTCTTTTCCCTAATCACTCCATAATCTGTGTGCCCAGGAAGGCATGGGTTCTGCAGCCCAGCCATCGGAAGCCCAGTGGTTGATATGCTGGTCCAGTACTCTGCCACTCACTAGGGTTCTAGGCTCCTGACACAGGTGCTGGCCTGGTGCCTTATCCCTCCACACACCCAAGATCCAGGCCCACTGAAGTGTCCAGGCCTAGTCCAACATCATGCCAGAACAGTGTGCTGACCTGGGGTTCTCCTCTCTGTCCTCACCTCTCCCAGGACCAAGCACATGAAGAAATCCCTGGGTTCATTCCACCTGTCTAGAGGTGAGTTCCCAGGTCCCCACATATCTCCTGGTGATAGGATTCCCCTCAACCCAAGCCTGTATCCTCAGGCCCCCATGAGTGCCCGCCGCCTCCCCCTGGCTGGTGCACCAGTGCTGCAGCATGGTGGTGGGCCACAACTGCACATATCTTTTCTTTATACATAAGAGGGTAACAGAAATCAATATCACTCCAGCCTCTGATGCAAATGCCTGCTCAGGAGCTGGTGTTCAGTCTAGCGGCTGAGTGTTCTCCCAGCTCCGACTCCTGACTCCAGCCACCTGCCAATGGGCTCATGGAACCAATCTGTCTGACCTGGATTCTGTTCCCACACCTGGACTTTGGCCTCAGCCAGCCCTAACCATTAGGAAGTTTGGGGTGGGTGGGGTGGTTAGCCAACAGATGAGGGAGCTCTCGCTCTCAACCTGCCTTTAACATATACACATATAGTAGTTATCCGATAGGTGTATATGGTTGGACATCACCATAGCAGTTTCATATTCTCTGGAATACATGTAGTGTGAATTCTTTGACTATTATATACCATTGTTCATATTCCTGAAATTTTCTATCATCCTGATGGACTCAATATGCTCTGTAGCAAATTCTTTGCCATAAGAAAATGAGCACTAATGAAATGTAGTAGAAGGGTCATTATTCAGGGAAAGTTTAGTATATTTGTTTTCAGCACAGCATACATTTTGTGAAGGGATTTTTAAAAAAGTGTTAAGCGTGAGAAATCTGTTCAAAATGCATGTCACCCAAAAGACCCTGTAATTGGACTTGTGAGGGCAGCAGGTAAAACAACAAGATGATTGCCAAATTTCTGAAGCTAAGGAGAAGACAACTGAAAGGAAAATGACATGCTTAATATAAATGGAACAATGGAAATTGCTCTGCCCTTTTAATGCAATGAATAATGTATGAACATTTATAGGTGACAAATTATAAATGAGCTGATTGTGTCAGGCAGGTCTGTGAAGACAAAACAGAAGAGATTCCTCCCATATGTAAAAAGGGATTTGAAATCTTCTACCTGAGATTTGTGTTACAGTCTCTATTTCATGATTTCAAAGAAACACAATAGATATTCATGAGAAAATGAATGCATATTTATCACAAAAGAAGATCAGAGGACAGAAGTCTCAAGAAACTCAGTTCAGTTAACCTCATTCTCCTAAATGAAATTCAGATTCAATAACACCATAAAAGTTTACCTGAATCACTCTATAGCCACCTTCACCTGTTCCCCTGTAAGGTGAACTATGAGAATTCTACAAAGAACAGACTTTGAAATGGATGAGTCATTAGTTGAGACTTTATTACTGTAACACCTCCAAATTACCAAACACTGCCCTATACTGTTATAAAAAGTTTTTGCAATAAAAAATGGCTTTTCTATGTAACTCCATTTTAAGCAATATTTACCATGCTCCTGGTAGAATCAACATCATTAAAATGCCTGTAATACCAAAAGTACTATGCAGATTCGATGTGATTCCAATATTCTCTGTAATAGAAAAGATGATACAAAAATTCATCTGCAGACACCAAAGACCACCAATAGCCAAAGTTATTCTGAATAATAAAAATAAAGCTGCAGTAATCACCGTTTTAGACTTCAAGACATGCAACAGAGCAGTATCTGATACTGGTAGAGAAATAGAGATTAATGGAATAGAATAGAAACCCCAAAAGCAAGCCCAGACATGTCCAGAAAGCTAATCTTTGATAAAAGAACTGAAAATAATCTAGGGAAAAAGTTGGTCTCTTCAGAAAATGCTGTTGGGGTGATTGGATATCAGCTTGCAAAAGTAAGAGTGAAGACTCCAACCTTTTACCTGGTTCAAAAATCAGCTCTAGTGGATCAAGGACCTAAAGCTGATCCCAGAAACCATCAAACTATTAGAAACCATCAAACATAGGAAGCACTCTGTAAGATATAGGCATATGCAAAGACTTCTTAGGAAAGTTACCAAAAAGTCTAAGCCGAAACAAACAAATGGGACTATGTCAAACTAAGTAGCTTCTGAACAGTCAAAGAAACAATCAACAGTGAAGAGGCAACCAACAGAATGAAAGAAAATCTTTGCACACTACACAACTAGTAGGAGACGAATATCCAGGATTTACAAAGAGTGCAAGAAACTCAACATTAGCAAATAAATAGCACTGTGAAGAAATGGGTAAAGGAAATGGACATTTTTTAAAAGAATAAATTCAAATGAGCAATAGATACATGAATAGATACATTTCCCTAGCTATTAGGGAAATACGAATGAAAACCACACTGAGGTTCCACCTCAACCTAAGGTGATTGGTCTACCTTTGGAAATCTGCTAACAAAACATGATATTCTGACAGCTCCGCTTTCAGATCCTGGATGGTCTCCAATGAAACTGTTGAATTTATCTGGACAATAAGATGCTGGACTCCCTGCATGAACCATGCCCACAATGATGGAATTATGACTGGTTATGAGCTGTACTGTTGTAACAATATGGAGGAAATCAATATGGTTGGGAGGGCTTGGGGAAGGGTTGGGGGAATCCCAGAGCCTATGGAATTGTGTCATCAAATGAAATAAATAAATGAAAAAAAATATGCTGGCTGGATATAGGGAAAAGGTACCCTATCGCACTGTTGGTGAGAGTGTAGGCTAGTGCAGTCGCTATATAACTCACTATGGAGAGTGCTAAGAGAAAGGAAAATGGATTTATCATATAATCCAGCTATCTTGTTCCTGGGAATATGTCCAAAGAATATGAACTCTGCATACAAGAAAGTGATCTGCAACCTTGTATTTATAGCAGCAAAATCCACATTAGTAAAGACTTGGTAGCAGAACCCCGACTATTGGAGCCACCATGCCTACTTCCAAGGATCTGCTAGAGGCATAGCACTGACATACAGAGCCACAGCTGGGACTCAAGGCCAGGCGACCTGACTTTAGTTAGCTCAGTCTTAGGTGCTGAGCTAAATACCTGTCCTGTCCCCCCTTTTTAATTGCTAACCTGTTTATTTTCATCTACCTAAAAGGCAGAGTGGAGGGAAAAAAAGCAAGATATCTTCTATCCATTGCTTTACTCCCCAAATACATTAGACAGGGCTGACCCAATTCACTATTAGAGATCAGACTCAACCTGCTCTTCCATGGGGTGACAGGGACCCAGATAGCTGGGACTTGATCCACTGCCTCGCAGGAAGCAGGAATGGAAGCAGTGTAACAGGGTCTTAAACTGACACTCCAGCGTGTGAGCAGCAACGTAACTTGCTGTTACAATGCCCACTTCTATCTGCTAGCTCACTAAGTAAGTGCCTGTGCCTGCCAGGTTGGGCCAGACCAAAGTCAGGAGCTAGGAAATCCATTTCCAAATGCACAGGGAGAAGTCTAAGGCCGTAAGATAATTCAATCATATTCAAATTGATGTTTTTATGTGAACAATGCTTTCATAATAAAACTAATCAAACAGATCTTACTTTTTCAGATATCAGATATTTTATACAGGCTAGCTGTACATGATTGTCTTGCTTATTATCACTTACACAGCCATGAGTCCCTGTACATCAATTTTCCTATAACACATGAAGGAACCTCAAACAGTGTGTGGAAAATGGAATTACATGTTACATTTATATGGGTACAAAAATAGCTAAAACATATGCTTTTTTTTTAAAAAAAAAAAAAGCCTTTCCCACGAACTTTTTGAAGTATTCTTAAATAGCTTTTGAATTTGGAGCTAGGTTTTAGATAGAAGTTTTTTTTTCCACAACAGAAAAAAAAAAATAGAAGACTATGGAAATCATTGGAAACGCAAAGGATCAAATACTAACAAAGTTCACATCCGAGCCATTCCAGCACTCCACTAGGCTGTGTCAGATGCTGAAGTGACAGTTAATCTCTACGCCTACCTGCCATTGATTTGGCATCTTTAGTGCAGCTTGTAACACCTCAGCTGTGAGTGCGCTAATCATTGCATTGTCTCTTTATAGCCCTTGTTGATTCCCACATGTGAACCTGTCTTGTGGATTTTTGTGTGTTTGCTTACACTTAGTAGGAAGCCAGTCGTGTCACCTGAGAAAGGACAGCAAGGAAAAGACAGAGAAAATAGCAAGATCCAGGAAGGAGAAGGTGACCAGACAACAGAACACTTGGTGGGGAAGGCAGTCCAGGCCTGAGTGACAGGAAATGAGGTAGCAACACCGTGGCCACAGCAATAAGTAAGAGAGGACAACGGATCAGTGTCGGTCAAAGCTAAGTAATCAACAGACTGAACTTCACTTTGTCCTTGACATAAGCATTCTTCATGGTGTCCCTTTGCCTTATCTCCTGGAGCTGCTCACCTCGGCCAGGTAGAACTCATCATACTGCCTCCTGAAGTTCTCGCCTTTGTAGTAGTTGCTGGCAGCCACAATCACATCCACGGTCACCATGCTCAGGATGAACATGTGGAAGACGGAGGAGCGCATCATTTTCTGGGGACACAAAGCAGACACACTATTAACCAGGAAGCAAGGCAGACACTCTCAACCAGGAAGCTAACCTCACGGCCATGGGCATCACCAAGTGTTCTCAGGTGTCGACTGACCAAGCCTTTGTCATCTGCTACTGTGTGCAAATGTGTTACCAAGCTGGTCGACTGATGTCCCTTACTGAAGACAGTGAGCAAAGAGATCTATCGCTTTCAAGACAGCTAACAAATGTCTGGGAAGTAGTTCAGCATTTTTTGTTTTGTGTTTTGTTTAAAAATATATTTCATTAGTGTATAGCTCACATCTTGTCAGTGGCTGGTTAGATAATATTTTTAAGACTGAGCAAGAATTGGGAGAAAGAGAGAGAGAATGAAAGAGGCAGTGAGGGAGAGGAAGAGAGAGATCTTCCATCTGCTGGTTCAATCACAAAATGCTGGTCACAGCCAGGAATGGGCCAGTGGGAGGCCAGAAGCCAGGAAGTCCATCTGGGTTTCCCATGTCGAGGATGGAGAACCAGGAACTGGAACCATTACTCTTATTTCTGAGAGTGTATATTAACAGGAAACTGGATTGGGAGCAGAGGTGGGACTCGAACTAAGGCACTTGAACATGTGATGTGAGCATCCCAAGTGTAACATAACCCACTGCATGAAAGTGCCCACCCTTTATTAGGTAATTTTTTCCCATAATTTTGCCTAAAAGGAGAAAAGATTTTTGAAAAGCTGATATCAAAATAAACATACTTTATTAAGAAAGGAAATTAGCATGACAACTTTTTGGAAATGAGCTCAAATACAGAAAAGTGGAAGAAACCTTAGATCTCTCTCTACATACTGTGTTCCTAAGTATTTATTGGAAATGATGCTACAATGAACAATAATTGATGCTGACAGCGTGCTTACAATGTGCCTATGGCTGTTTTGTGTGCTTTACAGAAATCATTTAATTTTCAGCAGCTCTAAGAAGTTATTCTCATTTTGTAGATAAGGATATTAATGCACAACGAAGTTAAATAACTTTCTCACTGTCATACAAGAATTGAAGATTGACTTGTACTTTGTATTCAAGTCTAGACCAAGATGACTGCTAAAATCGAGATGTGCAGACAGTGAAGATGACTGTAATGGCTGCTGCACACTGAATCTTACTATGTCTTAGGCTGTATCTTTTGAATGTTATTTATTTTATCTTTTCTAACTTCCATCAGAGCTCTACCTTGTGGAATACATTCATGCTGTACAGAGAATTCAAAGTACAAGTCATTTGTCCAAAGTCACACAAGTCACACACGAGCAAGTATGAACGCTTTTCAAAAATTTCAAGGAAAACAGAAGTAAAAGACAATTTCTCAAAGATTTGCTGTCCATAGCAGAACTTGGCTTTGTCCTCAAGTCTGTTTAAATTTCATGCCAGTAGGGAAAGAGCACATGTAAGTGGGAGGGTAGAAGCTGCAGGCCTGGGATAACAGGAGGAGCAGAGAGCAGCTGGCCCGTGCCAGGGTGCTAATCACTTAAGAGCCAAGCACTGAGCCTTATCTCTGGTGCAAACAGCCTGGCTTCTAAAGCCATCATGCCCCCTCTTCCCAGGCCTCACTGCCTTTCCATGCTTCTTGTTTGTCTGACCTGAAAAATGTTCAGTCTTTGCAGCTGAGAGAACCTCACCATGAAGTATGTAAGAGTAAGTTAAACACAAAAGCACTGGTGGCTCTGGTCACCGCTGTGTCCTCTATGCCTCCAAGAATGTTTACCATAGACCCTTGTGGTCCATGAATTTGTCCTTAAAAGCTGGGGCTATGTGTCAAGCTCCTGAAAGGCTGAGACTCTGCCATGCATGGCTCTTTGGCCCAGGGTAAGTTATATAATCTCTCTCTGCCTCAGTTTTCCCATTGGGAAAGTATAGACAATAGCACTCACTCCTAAGGATGATCACTCAAGGAATCAATGTTTGTGAAATACTTAGAACAGCACTTGTGTATTGAACATCTTCCATAAAAGATTTGATGTAACAATAAATGCAACTCTGTGAATCTGGTCATTTTCAGATCAGAAGTGAGAACATCACTGCCCAAGGTCAAAGAATGAATGACGCTGCATATCCAACTAATCTTAGAACTAAATCAGATAAATGGCAAAGATAAAGGGCTGATAGCTTACGGGATGTCATTGGAAAAACCAAGGCCTCTTGTCACCATGGCTATCGGTGAATCCTCATCCATTCACCACTGGCCTCATTTTATAGGTAATACACAATCAAATTCCAGAACTGCCAATCACCACATTCATTTGCACACCCACTTACGTGGGGGACTGCCGGTCTTCATCGCACGGATCAGCAAAGCAACTGGCAAGTTTCTACCTCATTAGAATTTTTGCTATTTAGTCTTTCTTGCATTGTGAGATTAAATTCCATAACTATTATTCCTATTCTCCACTCTTCTCAACATTATGTTCTATTAAAAACATTTCAACTGATTTCCATTTTATCTGCATGACAGGAAAGCCACAACTTCCCATTTTTCTTAGCTGTGGATTCATGTCTTACGTAAACTGTTATTACTGAAGGGTCCAAACAAAGCTTTTAGCCATGGCTGTCAAGAAAACTTTTAAATTGGTTTTGTAACTGTCACAGCTTCACTTTGGTGCTGTCATTATAATTAGGTTGCTTTTTTGTCTGAATGTCTACGTGTCCCTGTTGGGGCAGCGTCATTAAAACAATCACTCACAATAGATCCTGATACGCTATAATCACCATACTTAGTTGGATTTCTCCAAAGTAATAACTTTCACATATTAAATAAGAATCAAGGTGGTAAGTATGTGCAGTAGCAGCCGCCATAGAGTTTCTGTTATTCACACAGAGCATGTGTGTGCCATTCACTATAGAACTGGTTTGTGTTTTGACTTAGTGGAAGGCAATGGACTTACCACATCCATTTATACTTAAGTTTTTATCTATAGGACCATCAAAATATGTACCTTCAGTTTAAAATTTTTTATAAATATTAACATAATGCAAAATGTTAATTAAGTCAGTGCCACTAAATATTTTATTTTTCCCTTTTTAAGTGCCACTAAATATTATATAACTTGACTTTTCCAATTTTAACATGGATGTAGAAGCTCTCTGCCTATAGGCATTTCTATATCTATTTGTCAAGATTCTCTATATATACACACATATATGTATTGTATGTATATGAATAATATATGTATATATCAATTTACATATATTTTCATTTATAAATACTTAGTACATGCTTTTCAGACAACACATATACATGAATATTTTAAAGTTCAATTACAATGTTGTTGCAGTTCAGTTTTTTAATAACATGGATCCAGCCTCAACACCTCTTCAAGGTAAGTACTTCTGCTGTCGCTTTGGACATCTGTTGAAACAGGAGTCTCAGAAAGCCGCAGATCAAAGCTCACAGAGTTAGAGTAGTTACAAAGACTGGGGCCCAAAGTCGAATTTCTCTTGTCCACTATTAGGTGACAGGAATGCACCTGACACATCCTGCATATTAAGAATAAATGAGAAGCAGATTCCTCAGCATGAGTTTGTGGTAGAATAGAAGGTACATGTGTGTGAGCACTAGTTTTGAAAGTTAATGACTGCTACTTGCATAAAGTTGTAGGATTGCTGTGTTGTAATGGAACGCCAAATCTGAGGTTTAAACCCTGACACTGTGACTCTCCATGACATAGTTTTCACATATAAAATGGGTGTGACAACTTACTCATCTCTAGACTGTCTCTTGAGTATGTGAGGGAAACTGTTTAGTATAGTGTATGACCCAAAGCAGATATTTTGCTTTTAATAATTCTTGCTAAAAATAACTCTTGCTATTACAATATTACTATATTGGAAGCCGCCTCTTGGATTAAAGATAGAGATATGACTTACAATTGGTTATTTATTGGGAAAGCTAGGAAATGTAATGAGAAATCAGGTGCAAGAGATAACTACTCTTAAATGGAAAATGAAAGTTCATAAAACTTTCCAAAAACTCCAGGGTGATTTCCTTTTCTGGTGGTAAAAATGTTGCAGAATCTTGCAGGTATTTCAATTTCTCATGCTCTTATTTCTGGAAAATTGTGCCTTTAAGATCTTGAAAACTCTGTAGACAAATACCCAACAAGCCAAAAAGATGGCTTTGGACACCGCAATAAATTCAAATTAGGATACACCAGGCATGTGCTAGAGTACAGCCATATACCAAAAGTTGTGTTTAAACTGGGCTTCAAATTGGTCATATCTGCAGAAAAGTGCAATTGCCGGGGAAATTTTTTGAAGCCAACTTGCATCTGAGCTATGAGCACAAGAGCAGGAACATAATGTAAAAGAGCAAACACATAAATCCTAAAATAAGTGTCTAATTGGCAGGGGTGCGTCTTTTGCTCCTCTTATTTAGAAGATATCTGAGTAGTTATTACTTCTCCCACGAGTATAGTCAGGAATTCTGTGCAACACACGGGTTTTATGTGCAAATGAGAAAGTTTATGTTAATCCCAAAGGCAAAGCCACAGGGTATTCTTAGAGAGTCCGACCTTAGCCAGTCCTGGGATTGCCAGGACAGAAGAGAACCCTGAAATAATTCCCCACCAATGCAGAGAGTGCGATACCCGAGGACAGCCTAGCAACTGCCACATCCTACGCGTGGCTTGTTCTCTTCCTCGGAAAAGGAGGCTGACCAAAGGAATCTGGAACATTTGGAAGTCAAGTGGTTGGATGGAGAAAGAGGCTGTCATCACAACCTTTTCTGTCTTGGCCAGGGTGAATGTGACTCTACTCTAGAAGAGCTGAGCCAGAGGGTGCATTATACGTTGACCAACATTCGACATTGCCGTTAGAAAAATCATTTTAAAAAGGCATTGCTCTTGGTACTTTACAATCTTCAGATCCTCACTCGACTCACACACAGGTGCATGATTTTAAAAAACCATCGGCCTGGGCTGCCACTACGGAGAATTACGATGCTAAGTCAGTGCTTATCTCAAAGT